GACAAGTTTTAAGCTATACTTGAAAATCTGGTCATTCAGATTGTTCATCCTCTTCTAATCCAATCAAGAATTAGGCTCTGATTGATTTTCAATTTATTGATGCATATTCAGTTTATTAGCTATGAGATTATGTATATGTATTTTGAGCGTATGAGTTGATTTGTAGAAAGAATCAGAGAATAATAAATCCCAAACAGTTTTTAGATAAAAAACTGAATATCATTCCCAAAAAGAGAGGAGGAGAAGAAGTTCTCCTTCAAAGCCAAGGAGAATATGAAGAGAGAATCACTCAATTTGCTCGAATTGGAGTGTTTTTTTTGCACCTTGCTAAGTTTTTTATCTGTATTATTTTGTTTTTTCTTTGTATCCTCACTCTTTCAAGAGTTTGTTTTGAACAATCTTGTTCCTCATTATCTTAATGAGAAGTTCGTTTCTTGTTAAAAAAAAAAAAAATTTGGACTGAAAGAATTAGTAGTGGTACAGAAGCCATTGGAAAGAGAGCACCATGAAGAACCCATAAAATTTAACATTGACCCAAAAATCACTTGAATCTTTTGTGTCTGTCCGCAAAAGTTCTGACTTCTTTTTCTCGAACATTTAATTTCTGATCAGATTCACCTTTCCCTGTTGTAAATTGCAATTTCTGGAGTCGCTAAACTGTTGTCTTTAGACATAGGTTATAAGGCTCATTGGGAGTTGGATGTTCACTTTTGCAACTTTTGTGGTTGATTTTTATTTTTCACTGCATTTATAGAAATTTGGTTTCTGCTACTGTGCTACAGATTGATTTAAAATTTTGTTAAAACTTGAATTGGTTATCATCTGTTTCTTATAATTCCTTCAAAGCTCAAATAATGTTACTCCATAATTAGAGGACGAGACCGTAAACATTTCATTGTATCATTATCTCGGTACACAGAAATGAAATGTGACTGAAATGGAAAATACTACTTTTCTAGTGTTCATTTCTCCATTTGCTGTATTGTTTTACGTTTTAAGGACAGGCCAATACAATTGTAATGATGTTCTTTTGTAACATCGGTTACAGGCTCAAGGTACCATTTCAATGCTGTCTGCGGAGAGGAGATCAAGTGCTCAAGAAGTAAAAATCTTGAAGGACAAAATGGTAACTTCCTGGACCATATTCTTCTCATAGTGGTTGTTCTTGTTGCATGTTCAAAGTCAAGTTTGCCACTGCCCTGTAACTGTATCTTCTTGTCCATTTGATAGAAACATTCAATCCTAGCCACCTCAGGGGCACCCTTGTACTAAAGAGATTAGGGACTTTTTGCTTAGTTTTAAAGTGATTAGGGACTTTTGCTGTATTCAAAAGGGAAGAGTAGCTTTACCCCAATGGTACCCTGGTGGTCTGGATGTTGAAAACTTAAAATCCTTGTTTTCTCACGAACCGACCTTAGAGTGGATGAAATCTTCTTAAAGAATATTGGGAGCTGGGTTATGAGCACAATAGAAGGATTAGGTCCCGACATCTCGGTTATCCCAAAAGGGAAAAAGAAAGGGAAGTGCCGAAGCTTTTAATGGAGCCAAAAAGAAAAGAACTTCTGCTTACTTTTGTGTTTCTTTATACTACATTGTCATTCAATTGATTTGCTTTGATCTTTTGGAAATACTACTCTTGAATTTCAATCATCCTGCCCATTGAACAGTACTTGGACACCCAGTTCTTGCATACTACTGAATTTCAGCTAGTTTCTTAACGCTCGTATTCAATATTTCTCTCACTTCTATTGCTTCTTCTCTACATCTCGTGATTTGGTGTTTTGTCTCCCTATTTTCACAGATGGAATTGAGTAGGAGAGGTAGGGTGAGGAATCAAGTAGGTTTTCCTCCTCTGTTTATCTGTATGGTGACACTTATCTGCATCGTGCTCGGATATGTTTTACACCATTGAAGAACCGTTTGCGTCGTGCCTGAGAGATTGAAGGCAAGGTGTGGACGGCGGAGGGGAGGAAGAAGTGATGAGGATTGCAGAAAACATGTAAAGGAATTTCTTACTTATGTAGATAGAGTGGTAGGTAGCGAGCTGTGTGTTGTCAATAAGAATAGGCCACATTCGCAACACACCAAACAATGCACATTTTGACTCTGGATAACTAGAAGTTTGCTGCTGCTTTTTTAGTATGCAATTCAGATTTTGGGTATAAATAAATGTAGCGTGCTCATCTGCTTTTACTAATGTTTGAAGATAAATGGTGATGGTTGACCAAATGCTGACTCCCTCTCTTCTGTTGGTCCTTTCACTTTCCTTTCTATGATTGAGTGACTGAATTCTGAGTTAGTTCATGTGCAAAAATTTTAACTAATTTTATGAAAATTTAGATTTCATTTTGTATTGGAATATCTTAGGTACATGACTACAATAGTGTGGATTTATTTGATCACATTCTATAACTATTTCGATAACTATTTTGTTTTTTAGAATTAAATTCGTTAATACTAATTTAATATATGTGTTTTTTTATTTTGTTATCTACTTTTTAAAAATGATTTTAAAAAAATTAAAAACCTATAATTTTTAAAAAATTATTTTTATTTTTTAAATTTGATTAAGAATTGAAATGTACCTGTCAAAAAAAATTGTGAGTAAACAAATATAGAAAAAAATTATAAATGAAACGGACATAAAGGGCTATAATTGTGTTTTGTTTTTTAAAATTGTTTTTCTGATTTTGTGATTCAAATATATTTGAAAATTTTAAAAACAACATTTTCATGGTTTCAGTATTTTTTAGATTTTGAGTTTGAAATTCGAAAATGGAGAATTACATAAAAAATTTAAAAATAAATAAATAAACTTTGATAAAAGTAACCTTTCATGATATCATTTTTGTTAAAATTGAGACATATAAAATATAATATAATATTATAAAATAATAATTATGTAAAATTTATATGTTAATAAATTAATTAAATATTTTTTGGATTAAATTAAATATTTAGTTGGTAACTATTTATAGTTTACAAATATATTACTTAATATATTCTCAATTTTAAAAATTGAGTTTCAAAAACTTAATATATTTTAAACAATTTTTTAAATTGGGTTTCAAAAATAATGAAAATATGGAATAACTCAAATGCATGCATATATATATATATATTTAGTAAATATGTGGGGTGAGAATTCGAACTCACGACATATTGGTGGGAGTTTTTGCAGTTATTTTTTAGCGCATTTTTTAAATTGGCATGTATATGAAAAAATAAATTCTTGATGACTATTTTACTTTTTGTTTTTTAAAATTAAGCTTATAACACTTTTGCTAATGTATTTGTCTTTCTATCTAATTTTTGAAACTGTTTTTAAATTTTAATTTGAAAAACTAGTTTTAATTTTTTTTTTAAAAATTGTTCAAGAATTGAAACAGAGTAAAAAACGTATAAAACAAAAGAAAGGTAAACTAAAAGTATAATGGTTATATATATATATATATATATTTTTTTTTTCTTGTTTCTGGTTTTTTTAGATGATGTTTTATATTAATAATTTGCTTTGTATTCTATTGAAAATCTGCGACTAGATCGTCTTGAAGACAGACGTGATGAGATTTTGACACTAAAGTCATTGGGGGGTGTTTAGGGAAGAGAATACCCTGGACACGTGGAGGACCCCTATTGGTGCTCCAAGATGACTCGTGAGTCATGCCCAGCTCGGACCGCCGAGATCACTACCACTAGCGTTGACAGATGCTAAGTATGAGGGCCGAGGTGAACCTGGCCGAGGTCCGACCTACCGGGAAGCTCGGTAGGGGCCGATGTGAGCAA